GGAAACACGGGAAGGCAGCAGAGGCTGGAGCTATTACTTTCTCAAGTTCAAAATGTAGGATTTACCCACCCTGGTGCAGTGTGTTCAGGGAAAAGACGGAAGAGAGCAGGATGATAGATGGATCTGGACTGAGCAATCCTTTATTCCACAAATAGATCTTGCTAATACAGTAGCATATGAATGATCAGCTCTTCCCCAGAGGCAGCCCTGTCCCCCAAAGGTATGGAATCTGACATGACAAATATTGATTTCCCCATTTCCCCATATTTATTTGTTTTCCAAACACAAGTGAAGTAGTATCTCAAATCAGCAATCAAACCTCAGCAGCAGCTTCCATTTAAAGACATTTTAAACTATTACACTGTAGTGCATATAATATGTAAATAACCAAGTAAGCTTAAGTGCAATATGTATTTACATACAATTCTTGAATACATTAGATGTAAGTGTTGCTGTACATAATTATTTCTGAATCAACACTATTTTAAATTAATTTCTTCGTTTAGTTTGGTTTAATTTACTGAAGGCACAATCCAAAGCCTTTTCAACAAGAAGGAAAAATTCCCATCATGCCAGAATCGACTTAAGATATGTTCTTGGAAATCCTACTTATCACATCAATATTGCAGATCTAGACTTCTCTGCTATCATTTAGTGCCACTTCACTCACATAAAGTTAAACTAGGTAAATTGTCCATAATTTATTTTACTATTTGAAAGAATTTATAGCCTATTTGCCTATTTCTGTAGTCAATGGTATGGATCTCCCAGACGTGAGACTAGTATTTGACCCAGATTTAACTGATTTTAATAACGTAAAGTTCCCCAAACTTGAAGAGGAATAAAAAGTGGATTATAAATGGACGTACCTCTTCCATTCAAGAACACATACTCAAGATTGATCCTATTCTTTCAACATCAGTATATCAAGACAATAATATGAAATAACATGGAAACTGGAAAATGTAATTCTTAAGCGGTAAATACAGGACTGACATTCCTCCAACGCAGAAAGGGCACCTACTACTAATCCCATTCTAATTTATTCCATTAACTCCTTGTCTATTTGCACAATTTATTTGAACTGCCTATTCAGGGCAAAGAGCAATTTCGGCAATCAGAAGGAACCCTAATACGATACTAATTTTCTACATCATCTGATTGCCTTTCAGCAGCATGTATACTCTTTCACAGTAACAGCTAGCATATTTTATATTCGTTTTATAGAAGAAGCCGTTCATATGCAAGACGGGCAAGACCAAACCAAACCAGAATTTTTGTGTTCGTATCAGTTCAAAAAAATAAAAATAAAAATAAAAATGCCCTAAACCAAAAACTTTGTATCCTCAAGTGTCCTTTTGTACCAAGATTACTCAGGAACAGTTTCTTCTCAGGCAATTATTCAGGCGAGGAAGAAGAATGGTACGATGATGAGCTTACACTCAAACTCACAATCTATGGATAGTATTGCTTCAGTATTCAATCTGTCTGTCAACTTCGACCTCGAAATCTCTATTCCAAATGAGAATACTTGAATACTTTATCTAACAGACATGTCTTCTCACAAATTGTAAACAGACTTCTAGATTTATTTATAGTGTCAAAAATACTCAGGACAAATTATTAATATTTTCCATAAACTATACACCTCCAAACCAAACTCCATTCATCTATCAAATGTATACTTTATAGCAGAAACAAGCTAGACTATACCAGACTAATCTCCCTGGCCAATAAAATCTGCTTTTTTTTCTATGGAATATACACAGATATTTTCTCTAAGCACTGGAAGGTCTGTCTGCAAGGACAAGTGTTACAGGGATTTTCTTACAATTGTTTTTAAGCTATGAACAGCATACCGAGCCCGTCAGCATCCACACCAGCGCCACTGAGCATATGTTTCCACCCTATGAGATGATCCATGGGACTCTATGATCTTCTAGCACCTGGCAATACCAACTTCTCAAGTGCAGCCCAACTTTTAACAGTACCTTTCATTTGCATATATAGCCACACATTTCTGCTAAAAAAGTTACTAAGAAATGCAAACAAACATGACAAGCTATAGTCAAAGAAATGATTGATCTACCAAACCTAGATTGAAAAAAGAAAGGAAGATGATAGCACAGTTCCTGGAAGACCACTTAGAAAACCTCACCATCTTGCCTTTGCTTACCCCTTCCCCAAAATTGTAAGCAAAGTTAAGACTAGATATACAAAACAAAACTACCCACAATGCAAGAGAACAAGAAAAAGTGACAGTAAGCTAAGCAATTATGGAAACCTGAATTGTTCATTATAAAAATTCAGTTGAGAACAAGTGATTTGGGGTGTATAAATTCAGGCACTGTTTAAGAACATGTTGCAACCTCACAGGAAGTCGTAACTCAAACAGAAATAAGGTCAGATTGATTTAAAAAAATAAACTAACTTGGTTTAGAGGAGTAGTGAAACATACATAATGAATTGAAGAATGTCAAGCCATTCCCAGCAATATATGTGAGCCAGGACTAATAAATTGCTTAACTGACCAGGGCAAAAAGAAAAATGTAGAAATACAAATGGCCAGCAGAGTTTAGGACATTAAGATTTCATTAAGAACACAGAATTTATAAAGTGTGTTGTATATCTGTGTGGTTTGTGGCAGAAATATTAATAGAAATAATAATACAGAAAAAAACCCAAAAGTGTTCACTAAGTATTAGTCTTCAGGAAGAAGCTAGATGATGCAGTTGCAGGGTGAGGTGCTTTCTACAACAATAATCAGGGAGAGAAAATTAATCAACAGGCACTGAAATTAAATAGGTCTGGGTAACTTGCACCCCAGAATTTTGAGACAGCTAGCCAAGCAGCATCAAGAGTGTTAGAAAACGATTACATTGCTAAGCTTTAAAAAAAACAAGCAAGGAAAAAACCAAAATCCACAAATTGGGCAAGTCAGGTAATTGCATTCTTGTTAGCCTGAAATCAGCTAATGGCAAAATACTGGAGTGGCTGATATAGGACTTTACTAATAAGCAATTAAAATAAAGTAAAACTAATGCTATTCAAGATGGATTTATGGGAAATAAAGTTAGCTATCTTGAATCTAGCTCTTTTTTTTTTTTTAAATGCTTTTGAAAGCTTGACTGATAAAAAGGCTGCATCTTCAATACGATATACATGCTTCCACAAAACAACTTACCAGGCCATGTCATTTTTAAGAAACTGGAATTATGTAAAGTCAACATGAAATACACTTTTTTAAAAAATCATTAATAGACTTTAATAACTGCAAATAAGAATTATGTGGGTTTAGCTGAACACTGCAGAATTTGGCATTTAACCCCATAGTATCATCTATACTGGTATTCAAAAGGAAATTTAAATCATTACAGATAAGGCTTGTGCGTAACAGACTGAAGAATGCTCTAAAATACAGGACACCAACGCTAAGCAAAAGAATGAGTTGACTGGGAAAGCTGAGCAAAGAAGAATAGAGGCTGTGCTAAAAGTCAAGTTTCACAAGTATGTTGCCGTATTTGCACATCATGACCTGGAGTTGTCTGAATTCGTCTCACAGACCTTGCAGCAAAGGTTTAGCGTTGTCACTGGACATGCGCACAGGGAAATCCCAAGCACACAAATGGATGTTAAACCCCTTTCTGTATTTGGCATTGGTACAGCCACAGCTGGAATAGGGCTTCATTCAAGGATTTATCATTTTTTCAACCAGGTGGATATATTGGAGAATATTCAAGCGAGACAAACACAACAAATCAATTAGAATACATACTTTGCAAAAGGGCACAGAGCCCCATCTATCTCGCTTATTGAAGGGAAGCTTGAGGAATGCTTGGAGTGCAAAAGCAGCTACTAGCCAGGAACATACATTTCCTAACACAGATCTTCACAATCCAGAAACACAAATGTATAAAAGGTTCTATTGATGGAAAATGGTAACTATTAAAACAGATCAGATTAGAAATTAAGCGCATGCTTTGTTCCACGTATTTCTCTTAAGGATAATTTATTATTGGAATAAATTACCAAGAGCAGTGATTTTCTATCAAGAATAATTTTTAACAAATAAAGATAAGATTCTTCTGAAAGATCTAATTCAACTATGAATTAATTTGGGGAATTTGTATGGCGCTGTCCAGTGACCGTGGAAGCCAGACTAGGGTGACCACACTGGTGCCTGCCTCTCTAAACTTGGAAATAGTTCCTCTAAGCAATCTTTCTGCTGGACATAGCGGGTTGACCAATGTTTTGGTGCTTTCAGTGTCATGATAATGATTATTGAGCAGACAGGTGTGGTAGGGACTGAGTAAATGAGGTAATTTATAATTAAAATTAAATGCAATTTTAATTCCTGTAACACCTTTGATTCTGTTATGAATGCTAGTCCAATATTTACATAATAACCCACATTAATCAACATTATCTTTGCACCTTTTTAAAAACTTGGTATGCGGCCTCTCTGCTCAGTGCCAAAAAAGTCTGCCACCACATGCAGAAAAACAGTGATTTACATTTGCTTTCAAAATACAACCTAAGACCATTTAGGATGACTGTTGGAAGACTGGTTGTCACTAATCATACGTATGTCTTTATTTGCAATCAGGTATAAAACTAAATTTAAAAAGCTGATCACAGGGCAAACAATATTTAAAAGTAAGTACAATATTTTGTTTTGTAAATCAGTAAACAAACATTTGGCTTTTTCTCTATTCAGTCTTCTTCCAAAATTACTTAGTTTGAACTGGGCAAAGCTTATTCAAGTGAAAACAAAAAAGGCAGATGGTTAAACGTCTGTATTGTCTGGAATTCCATCAACTTACCAGCTACCAAATTACTGCTAGGTACAATTGCTCATCACCAGTACCAAAAAAATTAATTAATCCTTGGGGAGTTGTATAAACTAGCACATGGAACAGTGGCCTTCCATCTCTAGTGGTCCTTTCCAAGGTTAGATTCCAAATGAAATTCATACAACACAGTTCTAAATTTTCACAAAGATTCAGCTGCCACTGCCACCACCGTATGTCACAGAGTTTCTCCAGGCAGAAGAAAGTGACATTTCTGGAGTTTGGAGATCGATTCAGAAATGCACTTCTGCACTTTTGTTTGGGGTTTTGGTTTTTTTGTTTGTTTGTGATTTTTTTTTTAAAATGCCATTCCTACTCCAGACAACACTCAAACGTGTTGAAGCTCCTGATGAATTTCAATGCCATCTAAAATATAAGCACTATTGTAAACAGAATACCTTTGAAAATTTTAGGAATGGACATGTGAACTCAGAACCAACAGAAAAGCGCAGTGGGGTTTTTTTTGATCTTTAATGTAGATCAAAGCATGCTCGCTTATATTCCACTACAGCAATGTCTGTATGATTCTGTGGAAAAAAAAAAAAAAACAATAAAAGTGTGTTTCTGCCAATTTCTGAAATGCATATCCACTTCCTACAGGGCTGGTGCAAGGCCTATCAAAAGCCTAGTAACTGTCTCCAGGAGTCTCAAGAGAAAGTTACTCCAGAAAAAGCCTTCCTACAAGGGTATGCTAGCACATACTAACCACAGCCTGCCTCTGGTTAGGATGAAAGGTGGATGCAATTCTTACAGACCTGTGTAAGCCAATGCATTCCAAGATAAATCTAAACAGTATAAAAGGAAAATCGAGTTTCAAATAAGAAAACTAGCTTACATACAGAGCCCAGTTACATTTCACCTGATAGGAACTCTTGCATGAAAAAAAGGTATATTTAAACAGAGACCATTACCTCCCAATAACCCAACTTCCTTAACAAACTGTAGACCCCATTTTACCGGTTATTTACATGGGAATAATTTCTTTGATTCTGGAAATGTAGCCCTCTTTAGGATAAGACACAGCAATTGCATCACCGATCCAGAAAACTGTATCTGCAGCTAGCAGTGATTAGCAATAACATATAAGCTTAGGGGCTCCAAACCATTACTAAATCTCTTGCAAGAAACCAGCACTTTGCAGACTACAGTTTTTTTCTTCCTGTCTACTTGTCTCTATTGTCACCCCCACACACACATCCAGCCTTAAGTTTCTGAGGGAAAATTAAACTTTCCTCTGGTCCCGAGAGCCATCTCCAGCAGAACACTATGTGGATCCTGCTTTCTTTACGCTCCTTTTATTATGTGGACACTAAAAAGTCATTGCTCAGTGTTTCGGCAAAATTAAGATCCTAGCCAAGTCAGGAATGCTAGGCAGCAGCTTCAGCATAAACACTTTGGAGGAAAAAAAAAAAAAAAAAAAAAAAAAGTTTGCCATCTAATCAACAAGCTGAAGAGATGGATTCATAAACAGAAGCCCAAGAGGGAGATGATTTGGCCAATGCCAAACACCACTTCACTGAAAAGTAAGAATGAAGCAGGTCTCCTGGTAGCCAGAAAAATGGATTGCCCGCATTTAGCAGTCGGAATAGCAAAGACTAGTCACTCCTAAGACATACACACACACACAACCCCTCCCCACACCTTTAGAATTTTAAAAGGTCTCACTTTGCCTGAAGAGAACCATTATAATGATTACACACTGTTGTATAAATACCTCTGCTCAGGGTACATCTTCATTTGTTTAAAAACAGAAGTCTTGTTAAAATGTAGCTTAGTTTTTTACTACAGGAGAGAGTATAAAAAGAACCGTCTCAGCAGGAGGCCCTGTACTCTTTAGGGATTGAAAAGCAAAGAAAAGAACAACCCAGAAACCTATCAGCATTAGAGTCGGTATTCTGGCCTCTTGGAAACAGGTATAGAGATCAAGAGCAAACAGATTAGCAGCCCTTTAGGCAAGGCTTAAACCTTGATCTTATCTATCACAAGGCAAGAACAAAAAACAGTAAGAAAAGCTAAAGAGTTAGCTCTGTTTAATTTGTATTTCCACATTACTAAAAATTAGAAAGGTACAACGTTCCCTAAGGGAAAGGATACATTTCTAATTCTTCAAATTTTACATTTAAGCGTATCAGACCTGAGCTCTGGATCCAGAACTGCATTTTGAGGCTAATCCTCAAATGTATCCATTCCCTGTTCATGATATTATTTAGGCAGATATTTATCTTTCAGTCCATGCTTATGTGTTATTTTAAGTCATGTGTGAATTAATTTTCTATAATAAAGAAAATAGTTATAAAATGATACATAATTTATATTGATTTTTCTGTATGTCGACACTTTTTTTGAGAAAAACCAGGGAAAATCATGTTCTGTATATTCATCCCAATATGTGGGGAATGCAGACCAAAATACAGGGCTTTTTTAATTTTTTGGTTTCTAATATAGTTCTGTGGGTAGGGGAATGATCACAGAATGGCAAGGGTTGGAAGGGACCTCAGGAGATCATCTAGTCCAACCCCCCTGCTAAAGCAGGTTCTCCTAGAGCATGTTACACAGGACTTCGTCCAGGCGGGCTTTGAGTATCTCCAGAGAAGGAGACTCCACAGTCCCCCTGGGTAGCCTGTGCCAGTGCTCCGTCACCCTCAGGATCCCCTCTCAGTCTTCTTCAGGCTAAGCAAACCCAGCCATCTCAGTCTTTCCTCATATGGGAGATGCTCCAGTCCCCTAATCATCCTTGTTGCTCTCCTCTGGACTTTCTCTAGGAGTTCCTCGTTCTTCTTGAACTGGGGAGCCCAGAACTAGACACAGTACTCCAGGTGGGATCTCACCAGGGCAGAGTAGAAAGGGAGGATAACCTCCCTTGACCTGCTGGCCACTCTCCTCTTAACGCACCCCAGGATACCATTGGCCTTCTTGGCAACAAGGGCACACTGCTGGCTCATGGTGAGCTTGCCATCCACCAGGACTCCCAGGTCCCTCTCAGCAGAGCTGCTTTCCAGCAGGTCATCCCCCAGCCTGTACTGGTGCATGGGGTTGGACCTCCCCAGGTGCAGCTAAGCTAATGATGCGCGCTAAGATGCATGCACTTCTTGCCTTTCTTACATCCGATCTAAGCAAAAGTCATAGCAAATACTCTCTGGAGACCAGCAACAGCTGATACGTGAAGATTTAGACCTAGTGGTTTTCACATGATTACCAGTTCAGTGACACCCAAACACAACCTCCATGCAAATCATCCTTTACATCTAAAGGATTGAGAAGGTTTCCTTCCACTCTATAGAGGAGACCAACACAAGATTGTTGCCGGTTCATTTCTTCCCCTTAAATTATGAAATAATGATAATGAATGCAAAACAAGAAGTCACCAACATACATGAGATTAACATATGAAACCTAAAACTGAACCAAAAAACCACACACAGAGAAAAGCTTAGGGAAACTCAATAAGCCCAGTGAAGGAGGGAATTCACCCTGACACAAATTGGTTAAGGGCAAAGAGACAAACTGTGCTGGTGGGGCTACTCAGTTCCCACAATTTATTCTTTAATACCTTCTGCTGTAATATTTTTGGGGCACATCAAAGAACAATACAGGCTGATGTTGGTAATCCCTCTCACATATAAAAACTTTCATTACAGAGTGTTAAAGGCATCATTCTGTCTGAGAAATGGGAATTGATAGGGGTTGGCTTTTTTCTATCCCGGGGAAATATCTAAGGCTCTTTCTCATAGTGACGCTGAGTACTCTTGCCAGAATTTGTTCTGAAGGCTGCAGATGTGCAATATGATGAAAAATCTCTTTGATAAATGGGAAAAGGAGAAAAAAAAAGTTCAGCAGACCACTTTTCTGTGTCAGACCCAGAAACTGCTTTCCATTCTAATTAGTTTTAAAATGTTTCTTGTAAACACTTTTCTATTTTTTCCTGCAAAGTTGTCAGCACTAATTTTTACAGAGGTGCCTGTACTCAACATCTTCTCTTATAGAAGCACAGAGAAACAAGTTTTATTTTTCATCCATGAGAACTGCAGAGTTC